TTGAGCTTTTCAAGGTTACATTTTGATCGTGGATTGTCATAACTGGTCATAACTTACCTGCTAAAATTATGAAATATTTTATTAAATATAGATCTAAAATTAATTGTTCGAAAGAACGTCCGCGACGAAAAATGTTTAGTAGTAAAACAATGCAATGCATTCTGTGTAATCAAATAACTTATTTTCAAATATATATTATATTCAATATATTATATTCAAATTATGCTGCGCTTGGAAGGAAATTTCAACAGCAACGATTGGTTGCGCCATATTCTTTCTTAGCCAATGAGAGTGATGACATCATTGACCAGACTCCATATTATAGGGTCTCTAGTCGCGAGCAGCTAAGAAAATTTTTTGCTTAAACATCCGGTGTAAACGTAGCCTATGTTTGTTTTCAAGAATAGGAGTCTTAATAGTTATCAACTTTAACGATTATATCTTAAACAATAATAAACAAGGAGAAGAAGCCAATTATATCTTAGTTTACGGAACATAAAGTGATGTTATTTTCTTGTTAAATCTTTATTTTTATGAGAAAACGCATCAATTAAATATATTTTTATCACGATTTTTGGTGACCAGGATATTCTTAACATTTGCTGCCATCCATTCGAATGAAAATTTATTTCTTGATATTAAAATGGTAAGAACAAATGTCACTCTTATTTACTGAGTATCTTTCAGTTATCATTTTTCATTTTTTTGTGTTTTCAGTATGCTTTAACTCATAAAACAGAAAATGCCCACGAGGATAGTATATGGACTTGTGGATGGGGTTGTCCAAAGAGAAAGAAAGACCATCCAGATAATGAAGATTCACGGTAATTAGAGAGTTAATTCATAATAAGCAAAAAAAATTTTTTATTAACAACATTATATTATTTGACAGTGATTCTATACGATCTAATGAAGATGAGATAGCAGAATATCTAGTAACAGCTTCTGTAGATGATTCTGTGAAAGTATGGGAATTGAAGGATGCTACTTTGAAGTTAAAACATAATTTAACTGGATATTCCTTGGGGGTTGTATCCATAGCTATTAGCTCAGATGGCTCAAGTAAACAAATAGAAATATTAGCTTAAGATATATTAATTAGTTTAGATATATGTGTTTTATTATTGATTTGTAGAATGTGCCTCAAGTTCACTTGATTCAAGTCTGAAATTATGGGATTTACATTCTGGTGATAAGCTATTGAGCATTGAAGTTGGTCCAGTGGACATTTGGACTTTAGTCTTCTCTCCAGATGATAAATTTATTGTATCTGGCAGTCATGCTGGGAAGATACATTTATATGGGACTGAAAATGGTAAACAAGAACAGACTTTAGATACAAGAGGAGGAAAATTCACGTTAAGTGTAGCATATGTAAGTACATGGTATAAAAATCTATGATATATGTAATTTGTGTATAAGGGATTGCTTTCTACAGAGTCCCGATGGTAAATATATTGCAAGTGGCGCAATAGATGGTATTATTAATATCTTTGATGTTGCCTATGGAAAAGTTTTACGTACACTGGAAGGTAGTTAAAAATGTATTATAACATTATTGTATAAATAATACAATATAAATTGTTCTATCTTCAAGTTTATTTGATTTAGGTCATGCAATGCCTATCAGATCTTTATGTTTCTCACCCGACTCTCAGATGCTTCTTACAGCATCTGATGATGGACATATGAAACTGTATGATGTGTAAGTAAATTTTAAGTTTATAAGTATAAATATAAGCAGGATTAATCATGAAAATAACATGTACTGACAGTAACTATCGGAATGCAGTCTAAGTTATGAAGTGCAACATATTTTTCGATATTTAAATTAGTATTGTAAAATATTTCTAGTCAATTAAAAATAATGATCAATTGAATATTTAAAGTCAATTAAAAATAATAATCAATTGAATATTTAAAGATAATAAGGAATAAAAGTAACAGTAAAAATATAAAAACGGCTGAATTTGTTCTTCATTTTTATAAAAATATAATGACGCTATCATTACCATTACAGAAAAAGTAATGTTACCGAAAAAAATGTAAAAAAAAATGGTAATGGTTGTGTGTGTGTTGCAAGTAACGCGTTACTTTCCAATTAATATTTTTTCCATTTCATATTCTTTCCAGTTAATATGTATGAATTTTTGACACTATAACTTAAATTTTAGCTGTGAAAGAAAAGAAACCTGATTATATCCTCTCTTAATTTTATTGATTGCAAAGGAAAGAAATTATCTCCAGTCTGCGGAATTGATATTTTAATTCTTATTTATTATTGTTGTTTGAAAGTTCTCTCCAAGGAAAAATGTATCATGATACATTTATCTCTAACTATCACGAGATAGTTTTATGTTTTTCAAATAATTTGTTTTTTTCACGGGCAAATTTCATTATCTCTCATAGGGAAATCTTATTAAAAATTATGTAGTATTATACAAGACAGCAATTAATGGGAACTATAAATCCAGATTTTATTGTATACACTATTATTTTAATAACAGTGAACTATCCAGCACCCTTATAAATTATTCTAGTTTTTTTTACTAAACAGAAATTGGTAAGTGCTTTATTCTTTTTTTATTTAGCAAAGATGCAAATCTAGCAGGAACAATGTCGGGTCATGCTTCGTGGGTACTTGGCGTGGCTTTCTCACCAGATGGACAGCAATTTGCATCAAGTAGTTCTGATCATACAGTTAAGATCTGGGAATTAGCACAAAGACAATGTCTGCATACATTTCGTGAACATAAGGATCAGGTATGTCTCTCTAATCTTGAAATAATTGTTATATTTAATAAAACAAAAAAAGTATAATTTAAAATTTTAATAAGTATAATTTTTATATTAGGTCTGGTCAGTCAAGTATAATCCACTGCGAAATAATATAATTGCGTCAGTATCTGAGGATAAATCTATTAATTTATACGAATGTCCTATATATGACAGATAATTACATTAAGGATTAATAAATATTTTTTGTCAGCTACACTGTTTATTTTGTTTATTAGTTTGTAATAACCAATGACATTTCTTTCAAGTATATGAAAGACCGGATAATTACTTTTTAGCTTATAAATTTTATTGTACTGCAAGTAGTAATGTACAAACTATAAAGGTATCTGTGACAAATTTAAAACGCGCGCGATATGTAAAAAAATATTCTTAAAACTTAGAGCGGAGTGAAAATAAAAAAGAAATTACAAGAATGCCGTGGTGTACAGATCAAATATTTTTTAACGAGTAACATAAAGGTACCCTGACATGATTCCAAGTTGGCGGGGTTAAATTTAATTAACTCGAACTGGAACAGGGTAAAATGTTTACAGAGGAGACTTCGATTAAACAAATAAATATGTATATTAAATTCTAGCTCATGTACCAAAAGATCTCCTTCCGATAAGAGTTTGGTAATGATCTGACTCCCATACAAAAAGGAAACTTGATATGATATAAATGCTCAGGGATGAAATTAAAAATTAAAAAATTAAAAATTAAAACTTGCAGTTGCGCTCGATTAAAACCTTTAATAAGAAAAAAATATTAAATAATAATTAAATCCAATAAATTAAAATGTCAATATGAGCCGACACTGGATGTTCGTGTGTAAATCAAATCGTGTTTTATTTACAAATTACATGTATATTATGTTTCGACTCTCAGTTCGAATCCTTTTCAGGTACAAAGTATTCGTATCCATATACAATAAAAAAATAACTTATACGATTAGTACGGTCAACCATGTTAATATGACCAATAATTGTCAATTTTTATTCTCCATCAAATTACCATATTTGACGAGAATGACGGTTTTGAGCGAACCATGAATCAACTGAACGTTTAGCACAGAAACATTTCTGTGCTAAAATTATTTTTATATGATTAGGGGAATATACTTTATACTGAAGAGGACTCGAACTCGAAAAGAGAGTTGAAACGTAATATACATATAATTTGCGAATAAAACACGATTTGATTTACACACGACATTCAATGTCTGCTCATATTGGCATTTTAATTTATTGGATTTATTCTTTGGAGCCTACTTAATTTTTTTATAATAATGAAATATATAGTATTTTATATTTAATCTTTAAATCTATGTCTTATTGATCTGTACATCCCTTTAATAATACATTTACTTCCGAAAGAGATCGATTTGGATAAACACTGCTTATAAGCGAAACGGGTATCCATGTAGTATGACGAAAATAAATGATATATTGGCTTATAGACTGGAAATATATACTCGTAAAATTTTTTACTTGTATTGTAATGTTATTTTTAGTAAACTACTTAGACCGCTCTACGTTCATAATCGATATAAACGATATTTCCTCATTACGATTAATTTTCAATCAAAGCTAATTTCGCTTATTCCAGATCTTTGTCGCCTTACTTATCAGTCTTGAAAAAGTAATTATATTTTGTATCTCTATTTGTAAGAGATGGTACGAATCATTTAATATGAAAGAAATAAAATAGATTACCCCTTATTTCTTTCTGATTTTTCAATTTCAAATACGAAGATATATCACTAGCAATGTATCACCAGCGTATCGTGCTACACATCGTACACATAATTTTAAACACGCTACTAAAACTTTCTATCCTTCATTCACTTATGTCATATTATTTATCGACATATGTATATACAAAATTAAATAAATAACCGATTAGAATCACTGCTACATATTATAGATTTTCGATTGATTCTCTCTTCCTTCTTTTAACTCAAAATTATTATATATCATCATGCATATATACAGCAAATAAAACAGACAAGAATGATATTGAAATTTCCTATTAATATTTCACATAGTTCTGTCGTTATTGAAGAAGTTGGCATCGCGTACAAGATTATGGATATAACTATTTCATATTCTGGATAAAAAGTAGAAGAACTTGTACACGTAACGAGATTAAGAAGAAAAAGATTAAAATTATCTATTATATACTTAATAATATAATGCATATCACATATGACGAATGTGTGCGAGCAAACATACTATAGCAAGCGAATATACACAATGACTAATCAGAAACGAAAAGGAGGCGATTATTACGGAACTTATTTATATTTTGTTTGCGAGCTTCGTTTCCCTATACTGTCGTTATCCGAGTGGATCCTGTGGCTATTTCTGTGTGACAATCTGTCGTCCCTAATTTACTTTGGTTCTCGTTCGATCTAGTTTTGGCCGCTTGCGATGAAATGTCTGGCTTTGGGTTGTAGTTGAAAGGTGGTACGATCGCTGAAGCTGGCGTTCGCACACCGTTACTGCTTTCTTCCGCTGCTGTTGGGTCCACGCGAATAAAGGAACCAAGCCTGGATATTCTTTTGGTCAAGTCCGCTTCTGCGGCGAGATCAGCGCTCGGTTGCTTCTTCATGGTCACTAGAATATCACTCAACTGTGTGATCTCCCGCTTGTACGTTTCTTGTACGGAAGATTTCACTGGTATCTTGCAGGGCGCTTCATGAGCATTTATGCCCGTTAAATCACAGGAGTTTCTGTACTTTACACCGCCACATTCAATTTGCGTGCTTAAAACTGGTGGTCGGCTGGATTTAGATTTGTAGGACAATATCTCATCATTGCTGTCGTCCTGGGAAATTCCCTCGAACGTGGAACTGCGGAACAATCTGTATGCTGGTGGGTTGTTGAATGTGCCAGCGGTTGCAACGTTTACCTCGGTGGCGCTATTGGTGGGCTTTATCCACTGCCTAGTGTCCGGCTTCTCGAAACGCTGCTTATTCTTGCTTTCCTCCACTTTCTTCCAAAGATTCGCAATTTTACTTGTTGTCACCTTCGTCAACTTACGATTTTGTACGCTCATAGGTGAATTAGAAACTATGCTGGAGTTACTATTAGATCGATGTTCCAGTGAACTGATCTTTCGAATAACCGTTTTGTCGTTTTGGAGGACATTACTATTAAGAACTTTTGTTGATACACCTATTTTTTCAGATGATATTCTTTTCGGTATTAACAACCCCTTAGATGGTTGCATCTTTTCGGAACTGTTAACCGTAATTTTTGGCTGATACTCTTGTTGCGTTTTCACAGAGATTTTGGATTTTCCCGCTGCTGCATATATTTTCGGTGAAACGCCTTTAATCGGTTTGGCGATCTTCGTCTTTATTGGAGAAGACGACGCAGAATGCACTGTCGGTGCGTTCTCTACCTCTGGCTCATCCTTTGTAAAAGTTCCTTGACGTTCCAATGGCTTAATTGGAACTTCTGGCGGTCTGCTATCTTTTTGATAGTTTGACGAACAAGTCGGAGGTGTACTATGACGATTAGTGGGTTTTGTAAAAGTCAATGTGGAGCCCTTTTGAGGTACGGAGGCTCTTTTGGAAATAGTCGCCAAATTGCGTGTCTTCTTTTCTGCATCTGCAGAAGGCGAAATCCTTTTCGGACTCGTATTAGATTTCGGAGAGTCTTTCGTAGTAACCATTGTACTATTGTTATTCTTCCGCAAAGTGATGGCTCTTGTAGTTCTAACAATGGGTGAAGTATTGCTGCGACCTATTGGTATCCCGCTGACAGGGTTAACATGCTTCAATGGTGAAGATTGTGGAGTCGGCTTTCGCGTTATTGGATTGGAGTATAGTGCCTTTCTTCGTCCTCGAATAGCCTTCGGACTTTCCGGCTCGGATTTATCCGTTCCAGTGGAATCTATGCTTGGGTCTCGACCTATTGACGGCTTGATTATTCGAGGTCTTTTTGTTTCTCTAGATTCTTGTTCTTCATCGGCGCAATTGGACTCTTCATCACTGCCTGAATCAGTTAGGTTTGCCAAACCCTGATTCTCGTAAGTGATTTCTATGTGCTCGCCTTCCAATTCCTCATTGTCAATATTCGCTACAGGAGTTTGGGCGTCGTCGTATTGTGTACTTATCAGTTTTGTTGAAAGTCCGTTCACGAAACGCATTCTTAGATTATGCTCTGACTCAGGATCATTCAACGCCAAAGTGGTCTCACGACGCAAACTGTAATCTGCGATCGAACCATTAGCTTTACTTGACTCGTTTAGAGTGTTTAGCACGATGGTGGCATTCTGTTCTAGCATATTCTGAATTTCCTCCCGCACGTATTCTTGCGCACTTGCTTGCCCTTCTTCCATGCCGATGGTCGAAACTAGATGTTCGGAATTATATTCGATATCTTTAAATACGGTTTCTGAATCGTTCAACGTCCTTGTACGATATCTCTTCTTGTTTTCCTGTGAATCTCCGCGTTTCCTTCTCAGTGCTGTACATACGGGTAACTTCGTGAGTGTAGGAATCGAAGACTTGACGGGGGATATAACTTCCTGTTTTTCAACAGCATCTTCAGTGGTTATTTTGTGTATCTCTTCCTTAGTTTGAACTGCATTTAGATCCGGAAAGGGATTCTCTAGTACTTGTGTCTGGAATCTCGCTCTATTCTCTTGCCTACGTTGCTTTGGCGTTAATTTCGAGAAGGGAGAACATTTTCTACGTGGAATTTTATTATCCGTATCGTTGACGACGCCGTCTTGTCTTCGTCGTTCTTCCTCTTCTTTCTTGACAATTTCTGCGGCAATAGTATACGTCTTGTATCTCTCTTTCGCTAAGTTTCGTTTTTGTTTCGGGGTTAAATAGCTTTTCGAATTTGGTCGCTTCTTCGGTGTCGATTCCGCCGAGCTGCTAACACAATATTCGGACGAAATTGGCGTGACTGCCTCGTCAGTATCATTCTCCGCTTCATCGATTATCTCTGCTACGATTGAATGTACCACTTCATCAGTGTGCAACTCCACATCTATGCACAAAGTATCGCTGCATATATTATCGCATATAGTTGCTTCCATCGTGGATTCGTCCATTTCAGTCACCTCATTGAATAAGGATGGTGGATTAATGTTCTCTAGGCATTCACTCAGGCTGTTGCTCGCACTACTCTGCATACCTTCGACATAACGCATGCATGTCATGGACAGCACGTTAGCAACTGGCTTTAGCATCTCGAATACTACTGGATCACTGCCAGTCAAATTATGTGAGTCTTGTTCTTTCGAATCCGCGATCTCCGATGTAATGCTAGCTACACTCAACATGCTATTCTCCATATCACCTACATCCGGCAGTTCGTCCATCATAGACGGTGGTTTGACATTCTCCAAATGTGAGCTGGTGCACTCGTTCAGCAGATTTTCCAAGCTAGTCGTGTGGCTCTGACCTTGACCTAATGCTCGCTTGGCCACCACACCGATTGGCAAAGATTTCTTCCGCACGTTGCGGGAATCATTAGAATTTCTCACTGGCGCCGGTGGTAGTGACGTAGAATAACACCTATCTCGGTTAATGAAAGTCTCAGTGTTGTCAGCAGTACCAGCGTAACTTGCCGTCAGTGAAAGTAAACTTCCCATTGAGGACGGCGGTTTGATTGCCTCGAGGTCAATGGATGTCAAACTCGTTGTTTCGAGCTCGTTCTGATTATTTATTTCTGCGTCCACCGCTTCTGCTAATTTGATAGCCTCGCGTTGGATGATTTTTGACTCTGTCATGTTAATTTGCTCGGTATTCTCTGACATATTAGTACGTTGATCTTCCTGTGCATCGCTGTTAAATGAAGCAACCAACGGCGCGCTTATGCTAATGCTGGGAAAAGAAATGTCATTGGGCGAATCCTCATTCCACGTGTCGCACGTTAAACTTTGTTTCATTGTACCGGAGTCTCGTTCACGTATCGCTTCAGTTTGTTGAACTAGTGCTGCCGTCAATCGATCTAACGAAGCAATCATAGCATCGGGATCTCTCTGTCGTCTGTATGTCTCTTCTTTTGTATGTTTCTCTGCGCAGTCACGATGAAGAATATCTACGGTTCTTACGATTTCAAAGGTTGTTTCTGGTTTATCATTTGTGTTATCCTCAATCTCAGTTTCATCATTATTCTTTCCTTTTATAATGTCTATTTGTTTATTGTATAGCTCTAATTGTGACTTAACATAATCTGCATTACTCTGGTTCAATGTGATGTTGCCTTCGGATTTTATATCGGATTGAATACATAGTTTTAAAAGCGCATGTTCGGACTGCTCAACAGAATCGATCGATTCGCTGCTTTCAGAATCTTTTGATTGCTTCATAGATGATATATCTGCAAGTCGAACATCCATTATTGCTTCGTCTTCTCTAATGGAGCCATTTTGATCTGTGCCACATTCATCAGTTATGACAAAATTATCGGAAATGTTTTTATCTAAAAATGTATTAGATGTCTGTAATGTAGATACTGCTCCTTCTGAGAAATTATTGCTGAGATTATTACTGTTCACTGTTTTCACACTGATCGTAGTGTTACTTGATTTCTCATCATGTATATTATTCATGTTTGGCGTTATCTGTGAACAAAATACCTTTTAAAATGTGATTAAAATAAGTATTATACTGGGTGTCCCATAATTCACTTGACGGATTTCGTGGACAGGAAGAGCGGACTAAACTGAGACGAAAAGTCCTGTACCATTTTACAATTTTCACAATAGTTAACGGGATATTAATTATGTCTGAATATTACCGAATACGCGCGTCTGACAAACGTCCCGCACTGCGCACACCGTCGCGAGTTTTTAAACATCATGACTCGGGCGGCGCGCTTGCCGCTGCTAGGCCATTACCACTCCTCACGGCCCGCACGCCGAGCTACCAATGGGCGTACACTCGGCAATAGTAGATATTACTAGGCCGGGTGGATGCGCGTATTCAGTAATCTTTAGACATATCTCGTTAACTATTGTGAAAATTATAAAATAGTACAAGACTTTCCGTCTCAGTTTAGTCCGCTCTACCTGTACACGAAATACATCAGGAGAATTATGGGACACCTTGTATATAATATAGAATGATATGAAAAATGAATATTAAAAAAAGCAATCTGAAATATTCTTACTGTGACTGTTTCCAACTGAAGATTCTTTTTAGACAGTTTTCCATTATGATCTTTCTCGTCTTCTCTATTTTTCTCTGTCAAAATGTTTTCAGCTGTGTTGTCACAAGACTCTACATATTTGACATTAAACGATGAACTATCGAACATTACAGTTCCTTTGTGTTCGATTTGATTTAAAGCATGACTAGTTTGATATCGAGTCAGATTAGTTTCTAATCGAGGAAGTTTTTCGAGATTATTTCCTATAAAAGAATGTCTATGCCTACAAAATAAGATAATTTCGTGAAAATAGTAAAGTAACAAATTGCATAATTGCCACAGTAATTATTAATATTTTACCGATTATTTTGCATTCCCATGTTAATACAAGCGGTCAGTAAATCCTCATCATCTTCGTCTCCATCACTAACTTGATCTATACATATCCAGAAAGTTTTTTTTGTTTATTGAATCAGTCTATTTTTTCATAATTTTCGTAAAATTATATGTACCATACTTACATCCCGAATCGTTATTGGAAGTCTTTAAACTAGTGCTGCAAGCTGACAGTTCAATGTCACTTGATGGTAAATCCTTATTTACTTTTATTGGTTTGGAGACTGTAAATTTATATTATTTGTGAGAAATCCTGTTAAATCTGTTTAAGTTATAACAATTATTTAGACTAAATAAAGTGTTAGATTACCTAGATTATTAATCCTAGAACTGGATTCCCCATTATGATCGTCATTATATTCAGAAGTTCCTAATACCATTGAAATTGGCGTCGTTCTTACACTGCGCAAATATCACACAAACAATTATTAAAAAGCATTCTAATATAATATAACAATTCATTATATTTAAATACATTGATGGATTCTGTATAAATATGAAGCATCATGATTATTTAGAAAGCACAATTACCTTGAATGACTTTGCATAATTGCATCTTCTCGATTGCCTTTTTGCTTACTTTGATGTTCAAGATATGGTAACGAATGATTTGCACTTTCATCGTCCGTAAGATGTGTCACGTCTCGTAAATTCAACTCCGTTTCCGATTTGGCAAAGTTGTTCAGTTTTGGTACGTCCGTCAAGGACGACGCTTTGCATTCACCATGATCTTCCACATGTTTCGACTTATAGCGTTCAGGTAATTTCTTCGACAAGCTCCTTATACGGCTATCATCCTGCAGATCGGAAGCGGAAGTGGCTCTAGATGAGTTCAAGGATGCGCGCGGCGTTCCTTCCGTGTAATAAGTTTTAATTGTATCCTCGTGCTGAAGTCCTTGATCATTGCCCGAGAAGAAATCAGAATGTTGCTTCTCGTCGTCTATAGTTTGCTCACCGTACCGAAGACTATAGTCTGTTGGTTGATCCAAATCTGTTTCAGCATAATCACCGAATAAATTATCGTCCGGACTTTGAACAATCGTTACAGGCGATATTGCTTTTTGAATGCCGTTTAACGTGTCGTGTTGGCGCAATAAGACTTTTCTCGCATTTTCTTTTGTAGAAGGAATATCGGGCAAATAGGAGGTTGTCTTAAAATTGTCTGCAGTATCATTTGTGGTTCGATAATCCAATTTAATATGAACGGTCGCTTCAACTTCTTCGGACACGCTAGATTGACTATCAGCTTTGGACAAGGATGACATACTTTGATCGATTAGGGATATATTATTCTCGATGGAAGAATGTAGCGAAGTCTGAGAGGGTTCTTGATTAGGCACTGCGGCCCACGATATAGTCGAATTCGTGCATCTCAGCTTGTTTAATGTCGAACCGAAAACGTCGGAAGGTTTTAATTGTTCCGGTATTGCGTTTTTATAATGCAAAGTGTATTTTCTTTCGGAGGAGGTCGTTCTCGCGTGAACATCGCCATACATGTTGGTGTTGCCGAATCCGACAGCAGAATGCAACGATGAAGATTGTTGCTTGACCTGCGCATCGGTGGGTGATATACCATTCAGAACATGACGATTTACCCGCTCGAACATAGTGTCAGAATGGGTGCTCGTCACGGAACGCATCGAATCTCTACTCTCGCTCCTGGCAACTCCGTTGCATTTGGCAGTAGACGTGCTAGGCTGACTGTGCAATTGATAGGAACGCAATCCATGAGTGTTGATGCCAAGAAAGCTATGATCAAGTTTAAACATGAATTTTTCGCTTTTGCTGGTTGGTGACGTGCTCGGCTCGATATTATCGCACGTTTCGGCCAGATTCTGGTCGATTTCTTGTTCCAGAGCCCGCTGCCTGCGAGCGACCAAGCTTGGCAAGGTTGACAGTCCCAGTCCTCGAGCGGTAGAGTCTAAGTGGACGAGATTGTTACAGCCAGGTTTAGCGCTCAATAGATTTTTTAAGGCCGCACTAGAACCCATCGAAATCATTTTGTGCTTAGAGTGAACGAGACTACGTAGCATCGGTACAGCGCCCAGATCCCAAAGGAGACGTTGATCCTGGGAACATCGCGCGGACAGATTCCAGAGCGCTCCGCAGGCATTACTGACTACCGTCAAACTGGGTGATTTTAATTGTTGCAGGAGAACTTGTAGACAGCCTCTCTCTCTCACGATGGTTCGATAATCCTCTCGTACTGCCACATGGCTCGATACGTTTCTCAAGATACCACCGGCATTTTCGACTATCGCAAGCGTCTTGGACGGAGCCTTGTAGCTCAGCATGTCTACGAGAAAGGCTAGGGCGCCGTCTACAGCGCAGATATCCACTTTATTCGTGCTGCAGTGGGCCGACAAATTCCACAGAGCGGACAGGATCGATTTGAGGGTGGATTCCTTGCGGCCTTCCATAGCGGCTTTCATCAGACCTGTCACCGCACCTACTTCTCTCAGAGTCTGTTTGCTGCTACTGTCGGCACGCCAGGATAGATTTCTCAAAACGCTCGCTGTCACTTGTCTCAGGTCATCGCTGGGACTTTTCAATTGCGAGACTAACGCCTTCATAAATTCTTTGAATGAACAGAGCAGTGCCTTATTATTGCCGTCGCCGAAAGTCAAGTTGGTCAACGCCATTCCCGCATATCGTCGCAATGTAATGCAATTCTGATCATCGCTCTCGCTGCCATGGACCAAATGATCCATCTCAATGAGTTCCGCGACCGCATGGAGGCCGCCCAGCTGGCACATCGCATGGCGATGGGCTTCATCAAAGGATAGTTTCATAAGCGCAGCTATTGTCGCCGCGGGATGTCCCCTCTCAAGGTCCTCTGCGAGTTGATCCCGTTCCAAGGATATTCTCAGATTCTGACAATAATCGCGCAACTGTTCGAGGAATCGAAGCACTCGTGCTTCTCGGCGACCAGCTCTCTCGTCACTTTTGGCATGCACCACATTGTGTAATGCCTGCATAGCTCTGTCTCGAGTGTCAGGATTTTGTCCAGGTGCGTGAATCAGTTGCACTAATAACGGTAGGCAACCGGATTGTCTCATCACCAGACAACTATCTATGGAAGTGCTCATAGAGAGCAAAGTTGTGCTCATATCATCTCGGCCATTCTTTCCGAGCATACCGAGTAGATTATACACCATGTCCACCTTGGCACCTAGTCGACGATGACCTTGTAGCTCCGTAGAGTTGCCTTCGAAACCCACAGAGTTCGATGACGACGACAAACTTATCACGCTGGTCACATTCTATACATGGACATAGAATTTGAAGCAATGTTTTTATTTTTCAGATAACATGCAAACATTTAAAGAATGCTATTTCTTATGCCCAATTTTTTCAACTCTAGATAACTTTATCCTAGAGATATCTCCTGGATAAAGTTATCTGTAATTTATCTGAAAGTGAAGAAATTAAGCATTAGACTCTTTAGAGAGACACTTTTTGGAGTATCAAATTATTTAGGATCATATTATGTTAAATATTTTAAAATCGTTTTCCCAAAACTACCGGATGTCCTTTTAACCATTAAGAGGATAGGCGGTGATTTTGCGACATCCCGTATAGTACGAGAAACAGTATGAATCGCAATTATACCGTTATAACTTACATTATGTGCGAGTGATGTGCTCTGCTGGGTCGGAAAGCCAATTTGCTGATTAGCCCATACGTCTCTTCTGATAGGCCACGTTCCGCGATACAAAGATGGTAGTCTGTGGCTAGGCAGGGAAGTGCTAGCCTGCTTAGCTTCCTCCTCACTGCTAACGTCCTCATTGTAATGTTTACTCCTCCTCAAACATAACTATAATTGCAAAAGATTTTTTCTCTCGATTTCTGCTCTCATATTGCACGTAAGAATAGATTTTTTGTGATTGTATTGATATGATTTTTTTTCGTAGCTTTTCAAGCTCAACAAATGATACAACGCAATCATTTTATGATAATATAGATATTTTTTTTTTAATATTTACTACATATGTATCATACATGACACAGAAAATTGCTTTGTTTTAAACGCAAAATTTATGACTCTTTGTTTATTGAAATTTACAATTAACTACTTTACTTAAATGTTCACTCTATTCAAGTAAGATGTTCATATATCTGCAAAATATCAATTATCTCGAATAATGTATACAAGAAGAAACATGCTGCATTTAGAAATATTTTGAAATTTTCAACATGTTCATAAGTGAGAATGAATAGAGAAGTAATGTAACACAGACGCATTTTGGAAGGTGACGACTTATGCCTGTTTCCACCAATGCAGATTAACTTTAATCTCGGTTTAACTTACTGTTCATCTTTTTTTAATTTTTAGAATTAGAAAAAGATGAAGAGTAAATTGAACCGAGATTAAAGTTAATCTGCATTGATGGAAATGGGCATTAAAGGGCCAGGTTCAGAAAGAAAAAAGACGGAACCACTTTGGACCGGGCTCGGGAGGGGAGGGGAGAAATGTGCGTACGTGTGCGTGAAGAGGGAAAATATATGAGTGAGTGAGAGAATAAGCAAGACAGAGAAGTAGTGAGAGAGGAGGGGAGAAAAAGGGTGGGGGGGGAAGAGAGAGAAAGAGAAGGGGCCGGTGGATGACAAGTGCGAGACAGAGACGAAAGCCGACGGCTTCCCGTAAAATCAATACGAGATATGTTAGTGAAGGTGTATATACTCGTGCGCCACGAGCCACGAGCATAAGGCAATTCGCAAAGCAGCGGCTTTCAACTCTGTTTCTTTCACATAGGTTTACTTTTATTAGAAATTAAAGAAAAAAAACATGCACTACTTCAAGATGAATTACATTGCAATTTGACGCAGCCCTAATATCTGTATTAAAATTAGATTTGAAACAGTGATAATACATTCGCGAAATATACGTACAAATAATGAACTGAACTAGAAAATTAACTTCTGTCAAATTGAATGCTTGTAGTGCTATCGTTAATTTTTGCTGTGCTTCTAAATGACCGAAAATACTCTACGTTTGAAATCTTAATTGTAATTATTGTTGTGCAATTTTTTGAAGTTTAGAGACTTTATTTAATTTCGTAATAAATATCACATTATTGACAGAGTCTGAACGGAACAGTTTAATAATTTAGAAAAAAACAACTTTGTCTTGAATGCATTAATGATGTATTGTAGATTCAACGATGATATTAACACATCGATATAATATATTATATAAATCATTCTAGATATACAATTTAAATTTACCACAAATACATCAAATCGCAGCGCGACAAAGAGTCGTTTATCTTTAAAGAACCCTTTATGCGCCCTAGACTTTACTAGAGAACAAATCTCAAAATCACTCTCTCTCTCTTACGTATGAATATAAATATACTCAGAATACTTTACATACACGCTGTCATGCACACAAAAAAGAATGCTTTCATTAAAAAAAGGTGGTGAAAAAAGACCCTACCTCGGGACTCGGCGTTGTCGAGCGTCGTTCGTCTTCCTCCTTAGTCTCCGGCTCCATGGCATCCTCTTTGCTAGTCTCAGAGACGAGAGGACGATCCTGGTAAATACACTGCGGTCTCGGCGCTGCGGCATCGACAGCGACGGCGCCCTTCACAACAGCGCATCTCTGTGTGGTGGCAGCGGCAACGACGGGGTTGAAAGACGCTGCTGCGGCGCCAGAGCCTGAGTCCAGCCTGCGCAATGACAGGGGTGGTGGCGGCGACGCCGGCAACCGCCGTCCCTTCCGTACAGTGCTCCATGCACTGACGACGCCTTCAACCTCGATGCCCGCCGCCGTCGCCGCCGCTGTCGCTACCGCTACCGCTGCCGCTGCCGACGACGACGACGAGCCGTATGATACGCGACTCTCCGTCGCGCGCAGTCTATCCCGGTTGGTTTCCGCGTTCTCCTGGAAAGAGAAGAGAAAAGGGAGAAGTGCGTCAGCGTGGAAGCGTAAATGGTGAGCGAACACAGCAAATATAAAGGGAAACAGATCTTTTTAGATGGCCAAGATTTGAAATTGTGTAAAAAAAAAAAAAAAGATTATTGTCATACGACGAAAGTTTAAAACTCGCGTTTTAACGAGCTGTCTATGTGAGTGTATGAATTTCCACTTTTTTACGACCGTTCGAGGATTGTTTACTTTTCACATTTTATGTATTTTTCTCCTCTATTGAAAATTGAAAATTATAGCAATGACACTACGTTTTCAAGGAAAAATTGATATATATTGAAATAAAATTAATAAAATCTTAGTTCATATTGTTACCACATCACTGTCAGTTATGCTTCAATAATTTAAAAACTATTCAGAGTTGTTGATTCACTTCTAAATTAGTTTCAAATGATCAAAGTATAACCGACAATGGTCTCCAATTTTTCCTTGTGTTAGTGTAGCGTTATTATTATTAATAATTTTCAATTTCCACATACATTAAGAAAAAAACATTTAAAAAATGTACAGATAAAACAATCCCTGAATAGTTTTAACTCTACCCGGAAGAAAAGTCCATATCAAGCGACGCGGTAGCATCGTGATGCCAAATGCATAAAAATATTAAAAATATGAAATTTGATCGCTTGACTGCTTGATGTGACAAATATCATTGCGTATTATATGCGTTCGTGTGCCGCTGCCAATTCGCGACGCTACCACTAGCTTTTTCCGGAGTTTTGACATCGACAAACTTTTGACTAAATTATTCAGAAACTATATATAAAACTGAAATCGAACATCTAACAAAACTTATTATATAATGCCAGCACAATCTTTCAATTGCGAATAGTCCGAATAAAATTGATATAGTCGATATATCGAGAGCAGGGTTCGAGTCCCAAAAAGGGACCACTTCAGATTTTCAAATTTTTTTTAGTCATATACGTATAAACGCATACATGTAAACCGTTTTGTCCATCAAGCTATTTTCACAATGCTTTCATTTAAGTAATATTACATTAAAATTAGCAATGGGTGCATTCAGTACAACGACCGCTCACTGAGCGCTTAGTGAGCTCTTATATCTGATTGGCATATTCCGTTAAATCTAAAAATATAGACCAAACTGATATAAGAGCTCACTCAGTGAACGGTCGACCGCGGTCGTCGTACTGAATACACCTAATGTATGTAAGTCATTAATGCACATGAGAGAAAGAGAGAGAGGGGAGGGGATTATGGGGAAATAAGAGCGTAAAAGAGGGAAAGTGAGGGCAAGGAGAGAATAAGAAAAGACGAGAGAAAGTGCAGGCGAGAGAGGGCAGGAGAAGGCGAGAGAGGGGAAAAGGAAAGAATGGAAGAAAGGGAGCGAATTAATTATTATTTCTTATTTATATATATTATTAACCTAATATTTTCAATAAATACAAGTTATTATTATTATTATTACTATTATCTTTTTATTTTTAGAAGATTTAAATTCTATATTATTACATTTTCAAAAATTTACAAAAAGCAGTGAAATCTTTAAAAAAAAAAACCTTTTTAAAAAATGTAAAAATATATAGTACATAAAAAGGTATCGAATATTACATTCTTATTATTATTAATAAAAAACCGAATATGAAATAAATGCAATTAGCCAAAGTATCTCACCACACAAGACACATAAAATAGATTGAAGTGACTAAAATGGTCAACTAGATTATAGTGAAGGAAAAACTTGGCGTGTCCGGATCGCATTAATTGTACATACTTCGGTGAATATGTATATAATATATACATATATAATATATACTAGGGTATATAATATATACTAGGGTAAATCAATAAGTACCCGTTTGAAAACAGGCAGCGTTGCTGATGCAAGTTAACATTTTACCATCGTGTACTACCATCTTTCAAACAACGCCATATAAAATTTCAGAGTGATTCATGCGATAGTAATGATTTGACAGCAATTCGTAGTGAGCGTATTTGATGTTTTTCGATGCAATGGAAAAAGAGCAATATCGATCTGTGATTTGCTTTTTATTTTTGAATGGAAAAACGTGCGAAGAAATAAAAACGTAATGGATGCTGTCTATGGAAACCCTTCGCCATCTATGACAACGATCAGATATTGGTTCAATAAATTCGAACATGGTTATTCATTTGTTTTTAATAAGCGCTTATTAACCGCTCTAAAAGTCGCCCGGTAGACGTGAGGAAATAAAAAAGTCCACATGATTCTCTCTGATTATCGAATAAAAGTGCGTGAAGTAGCAGAGGCTGTAAGTGTCGTACGGAACGGCATTCGATATTTTGCATGACAACTTGAGAATGAAAAAGCTGTCGGTCCGATGGATGCCGCGGTAGATAACAAGCAGATACGGCTATCAATTTTAAAGCAGTGTTTGGAGCTGTTTAGGGGCAATCCGCAGTTTTTGCGTCGAACTATAACCATTGATGAAATATGGAATCATCATTACACACCGGAAACTAAGGAATAGTCAAAACAGACTTTACCCGGTAAACGTGCTCCGAAGAAGGCTAAGACGGTTCCATCGGCCGTAAAGATGATGGCCATTGTTTTTTAGAATGCGAAAGGCATGATCTTCATCGACTATTTGGAGAAGGGAAAAACTATCACGGCAGTACTCTCCGGATTTGGCCCCCTGCAACTTCTTCCTGCCTTCAAACTTGAAAAAAATGACTCGGTGGAAAGAGATTTACGATTTACGTCGAATGAAGAGATCATCGCCGAAACAGGCCTATTTTGCAGAGTTCGACAAATCGTATTTCTCGGAGAGGTTAAAAAATGGCACGGGTGTTGGGAAAAGTATATCCTCCTAAAAGGGGATTACGTTGGAAAATAAAAAAAATTTGTGAAAAACTTGTGTCTTCATTATTAACATTGGTGGTACTTATTGATTTACCCTCGTAATTATATATGAAAAATTTTTTTCCGGATGATTATTAGGTCTATACAATTTAATTCTCGGCCTTTTTGCCAAGTTTCGATGTAAAATTATTTAAAAAAACGAATATTAACCTAATCAAAGTAATTCCCTTCACTTTTCACACGTTTTCGTCATCTTTCAGGCAATTGTTGGATTCTGTTTTGAAAAAAGATGATTGTTTTGAGTCGACAAAATGTTGAGCAAAGAGTTCAAATCTCTCTCAAACATAAATATTTTTATATTATAATTTAAATTAAAGAAGTTTTTCTTAACGAATAAAATAAAATAACGAATAAAAATAATTAAACATCAGTAATTTTCATGATTGATATATATGTAGATATTGATGTTAATAAGTATTCCGAAACACTGTAAAGAATTCATTGCGAAAAATATTACCTCAGCTAGTGTCAAATTTGGATTTTCCTACATATCGTAACAAGCGTCTTTATCAATTCAATCACTGAAGCATTTGATAATACTTATTTAATATTTTGTAACACAAATATTAAGAGAAGTGACATTAGACTGAATGTGTTTAAATTATTACTTTATGAATTATTAATATATTTGGATATGTGAAATTAATTTGAAGAGAAATAATAAAAATAGTTATATTTTAATTAAGAATTTAGAATTCCTTAATATTAGTAGAGTGTGATGCATCCGCCGCATTTCCCTTTTGTACAGACCTGCACATAAATCTGTGGTATCTTTCCATTCATCACCAATTATTCAAGAAATGGCGAATGTGTAGGCAGAAATGGAAGAAGAGATTAGCATTCATTATCATAATTAAACCATTATGAGATGCAATTAAACGCATTCGGTATGCTTGTAATTAAGTGACTTGATCTCGATAAGTTTATCCGCAAAAAATCGCTTGATTTAACGCAATTTTTATTTCAGTTGGCTCAATATATACAATCTTTTCTTCACTTGTTAGTGAAAGCGTGCAAATTCAATAACGATTAAAATCATTATTTTGTTCTTTCAGCATTTAAGTGTTATTATACATGTTGAAAATCAATTGTCGAAAATGGTGTGTACATTTATGCTGCTTTCCAATCTTAAAGTAAATGTTAAGGTATACATTAAATATATTGTTAAAGCCGGCGGCATATCATGTTGGTTTTCTTGCTGGATTGCTAGCTGCATTATTAGATTCTTGTCACCATATACGGTGACAAGATTCTAATCTAGCAGAAAAACAAGTATGATGCCGGCTTAAGTTATATCAAAGTAATAAAATTTCAATTGTATATTAGCATAATATTTTTGTATAAATAATAAATCGTTTATCAGCAATGACTCGATATATGCATTGGCATTACACACAATACATTGTGCACCGTTAATTAGTGCTTTGCTTGCAATATGATTGCTTGTGTAATTATGCGTGGGCGAGATTTTATTGCATTGTAGTCTTACATTTCACGCTAACTGCTAACAGCCTACGACACTTGCAAAAACATTTAAATCTGTGAAGATTATATATATATTTGTACTTTAATGTATATACATATATTCATTATAAAATATATATATATAATATTATACATAATATGTATATAAAATATATATATGTATAATATATACATATATGAACAGTCACATATATCAATATGTAGATATGTGGGT